AAATCAGCTACAGCTGCATGAGAAACGTAGCCTCCATCATCAAAGGTCACAACGCTGCGAAGCTCCAGCCAAGGCCGCCCGTTGAGCCTTGTAACTGCCGGGTCAAGCCATCCTGCCCGCTCAAGGGGGAATGCCAGTCGACTGACGTCATATACCAGGCACATGTGTCATCTCCCCAGACCAAGACATACACCGGACTGACGGCCAACACCTTTAAATCGCGCTACAACAACCACTCCACAACATTCCGGCATGAGAAATACTCTACATCGACGGAGCTCTCAAAGCATATTTGGGACCTTCAGAACGCCCAGCGCAACTTTGACATCAGCTGGAAAATAAAAGATCGCGCCCCATCCTACAGCAACATCAGCAAACGATGCAGCCTGTGCCTCACGGAGAAGTTTCACATCCTCACCACTCCAAATGCCATCTCACTTAACAAAAGGAGCGAGTTAGTATCAAAGTGCCGCCACCAGCGCAAGTTTTTGCTGGGTTATGAAGTGACATAACGTGTATGACGTGCTATGGGTTTGGCGTGTGTGTGTATGTGTGTATGTGTGTGTGTGTCTGTGTATGTGTGTGTGGTGCGTGTGTGTTTGGCGCGCGCGCGCGCGCGTGTGTGTGTGTGTGTTTAGGTGCGATAATGCGGGAGTGTGGAGAGTGTGAGAACGAGAGGCTGTGTGTAGGTATGTGTATGTGGTGCATGCGTGTGTGGTGCGTGTGTGTTTGGTGTGTGTGTGTGTGCGTGTGTGTGTGTTTAGGTGCGATAATGCGGGAGCGTGGAGTGTGTGAGAACGAGAGGCTGTGTGTATGTGTGTGTGTGTGGTGCATGTGTGTGTTTTGGTGCGTGTGTGTGTGTGTGCGTGCGCATGTGTTTAGGTGTGATAATGCGGGAGTGTGGAGTGTGTGAGAACGAGAGGCTGTGTGTGGATTAGTGTGTGTGTGTGTGTGTGTGTGTGTGTGTGTGGATGAGTGTGCGTGTTCATGTTTCACCCAGCACCTGAGATGTTGATTCTGGCACGTCAGAGCGTACTGCCTCTGGGAGGTGTTGAATGATTATCATATTGTCTGCACTGAATTATTCTATCTCCTCTGCTTGCCTTCATATACCTGCGTTTTTCTAATCTCCTTATGTTGTCTGATGATTGGTTTTTGCCATGAAACTCTGAGTTACAACAAAAAACAGCCCTATATACTTCCTTTTGTGTACCTCTTGCGTACTACGCTCTGCCCATTCCGGGCATTTGAGCACTATTGCAGGTTAAGGCGCACACCCTCTGTGACTGTACATGGTAATACAACCCAATACTAGTTCAAAACTAGTATTAGATAAACCTTGTTTAATATAGTTCACACGTGTTGTTAGATTGACAGCATGAAACATGCCACACATTGTTACTACTAGTATTAATTTTCAATCGCATGACACGTAGTACCTCACTCCCGAGGCCTGACATTGCTCAATGTACTGTAAATAGTAGCTGTGTAGAATTTTCTGTGCTCATTCCTACCAAGTAGTTCCTTTGAAAAGGTCAAGAAATTTCTTCGAGGTAGTTGTCTGTGAAGACACAAGATGTCTTCCGCTGTTGGACATCTCCACATTCACCCTAGGATAGGCTCCGGTGGATTATGCTCGCGAAATCATGGAATTATGCTTTCTTGGATTCTCGCATTATGCTCGCAAAATCTTCATATTATGCTTTGGCATGCGAGGATACATACATGTATTCACTTTGTTGCACTTATGGAGCCTCAAACTTCGGAAAAATGTGCGTTTTCGTACTTGCAAGTGGCCATAACTTAAGTGCAACAAAATATTACACGAGTATCTCCATACCAAGTTGTCCATGCATACTAGAGATCAACATGGAAAAGAGAAAAACAGTCAATACTCTTCTATTCATTTGTTGACTTCTTTTGTAAAAAAGATTTTTTCATTGGGAAATTAGTTTGAGTTACCTTTGAAAATTATCATGTTCAACTGTCTTCCTAATCGTCATACTCGTTCAGCCGATGTCACCCTCACCCTGCGAATAACCAGCTCATCTCTCCCGTAGCTCCACCTCTCCTTCCGTCATGACTCATGACCAAGCATCAACTATACCTCAACTTTCTATTTTTATTAGAGCAATATCCATAGCCTGCACAGTCATGGCTGCTAAAATCCAGAGGTCATGACTTCGTAACATGCATAATGTACAGTCACGTCCGCGGAGTTTTGTGAACTACCCGTCACTACTATGATCTCATCCGCCCCAGGATACCTGATAAAGGCTGATTCACACGCATCTTCTGCTACATGTACTGTATCAGTGTGAGAAAGAACTTTGAAAAAGACGAGTTCGAGCATACAATAATGTATTGCCATGATTCCTACCCTGCTTTTCATTGAAAACACTATCTGCATGACCTCCAAACCCTTTACCATGTAGACCACCAGCACTGATCAGGTGGGTTCATTGTAGCCTACATACTAGAACTGTATTGCAACTTTGATGCAGGGCTGTGGCTGAATAGTGGGTGTATCAAATCTTTTCCCTTGCTTATCCATGTAGTGAGAGGTGAAACCATTATTGCTTGTGATCATTTGGATGTTGGAAGCTTATCATGGGAAGTGGTATTCCTGCCTGTAGACAAGCTGTCACTGCTTCCACTCTGTGAAAAATGTCTTCATCTGCAACAGCTCACGTGAGGCCAGTTCCTGAGAGACGATCTCAGATTCAGATCCCTCCCATTTGCGGAAGTCCTGAAAACACGTGGTCAGAAGTTATTTATGCCGCTCCACATCCTCTGCTTGTGCTATCTTCTTCTCCTGAGGTTGCGTGGAGACAAATTGTTGGCCACAATACTCTTCTTTTCTGATAACACTTGACAATACTCTTCTTTTCTGATAACACTTGACTGTAGGCCTTGCATTATAATCGTCCACGACGAACTGTACGTGCTTCACCAGGAAAGTAAGACACCCGTTGCTGAGCACTCAAGTGGACTTGGTACTGCGTCCCGATGATGAGAAATAGTTCTTTTCGAGCCCCTACTGCTGAGCTGGACTCGGCAAAGGCAGTTATTTGGAACAAGCTATTTCTGTTTACAGCCGCTCCTTCATCCCGGTCCAAATTTATCAATGGATCAGTGTTTACTTCAGTATCGCTAGAGATGCTATGGCCAGAGCTTATGGCATAAAAGGAAAACTCCTCTTCGTCTGTTTGGTATTCACCTCGCGTAGACCTACGTCTAGCCTCCTCCATGGCTCTCCATGATTTCTAAAAAAAACTTCTCGTAAATCATCGTTACGGATTTTGTGTAGATCTACCAGCCTCAGCTGCAACGATGGGCATGCTACATCACATGCCGGTACACTTACCGGACTACATAATTGCTACATAAAGACTTTATGTAGCAATGCCAATGGCATTATGTAGTCAGGTAAATGTAGCATTAGTGCTAAGGTGTTACGTGTCTACACCACAAAGTAATGTGCCGGTACAATACATGGCGTTGCACCTCATGTCATGGCTTTAGCCGATTGTTGCCAAAACCTGAGATTTCCCGACATTATTCACTATGAAACTCGTTATGCCGCTCAAACCTCACATAATGCGCGTCTTGTTCCCTTATAATGCTCCATAATGCTCTGATGCTCGGATAGTACCATAATGCCGAATATAATGCCGGCATTATCCGCTGGACCCTACATTGCACCGGGTATATAGGTCTGTGTTGGAGATAATTTCCGGGTAAGATATCCCTAAAAGTAAAAGGCGGCGGAGCTGCTTTCTGTGGAACGCATCCATTGCTGTAGCATCCCGGGATGAAAGCACCCACACGCCACAGTTGTAGGTCATAACAGATAGCACAAATGCATCAAACAACCTCAGGCGGGTTGCTTCAGAGATACTGTAAAAGCCATTATTCTAACGAGGCGCATATAATTAAAACGATTTCCCAAAATTGACTAGTTTACGTGTACCAAAGGTAACGATTCTCACTCATTCTCAACGCTCAATAGGACAGTATACGTATCGATTTCTGTATAACGATTTCTATTTTTACGACAGATTTCTCCTCGTTAACTCGTTAGAGTTACTTAGCAGTATGGCTTTTACAGTAACTTACTTGTCTCCGCGTCCACAGGTTGACAAGTGTGTTGAAGGCAGCTGCGGCTTGCTGGCGCCGGCGTTTGAGGTCTTCTGTTACTAGTACTCCGTACAGTGAACCAAGCAACCGGGTGGACCTCCATCGTTCCTCACCTCTTCTTGCAACATCCTCTTCTTAGTTGCCTGATGATTGCCTTAGCATTTAGCTACGTACATGAAACGCAGCGTTACAACGTATGTACCGGCATATATAATTGGTGGAACCATTCTTTTTGACCTTTGTGCTCTTCTTGGTATAGATGGGTCCACTCGGTCTTGGTACTGGTAGGGTTGATGTTGAGGTTCCACTCTTTGATTTTGAACACTACCTCTGCCTCTGTTAGTAGTGTCATAGCCGGCTAGTAATACTAGCCATGCTGTAAAATAAAAGAGTCAGTGGCAGTATGCTTCACTGCATGCTGTCTGCTGCTGTATTCAAGAATTGACAGCTCGAATCTTATCTTGACTTGAGTGAGCTCTTACCTAAGTCCTTGTCGACATGTCACTTATTACCCACAAAGTAAGTTAGTTGAGTAAACATGGTAAAACATGGTAAACGGGCAGAGGTAGACACTACTACTAGCCCATACAAACAGTCGATCCACCGCGGTCCGTGACGGACTTCCAGCGCGCGGAGTCTACAACACAAGACGTCGCCCAGCCGTGTCGGTGTTACATGATCCGTAGATCTACCATGTACTTAGCGATACATAGTCATTGTTGTTTCTAGTTTTTTCTTTATTGTTTACCCTGCATGCATGCATGGCTGTAGGAGTGTAGTAGTGTAGATCTACTCTGCGCTGCGTCGGTAAAGTAACTAATATTAGTATTACTTACTTACTACTAGTAGTAGTACTGTAGTTAGTTTCAGCCTAGCAAGCAGACTACTCGCAGGATACATTGAGTGTACTGCAAGAGTACTCGTAGAGTCCTCTGCTGAGTCTTCTCGACTCCAGAACGCGCGCAGCTCGAGCTCGACGGGTTGGGTTGCGATACAAGCGTTTGCAAAAGCGAACGTTATTATTCAACAAGTAAAAATGCTGGTTTTTCTTGCCTGAGTCGTTCGCTTGGAGTTCTTCGACTACAATTTTTGTGGTGCATGCCGCGCCGCGTTGTAGTTTGTGTTGGCGAGTAAGTTGTTTACATTACAAGTTACACCGGCTCCGTCATGGACCAGTTTTCACTTTTCAGTCTTCGTAGGTCACAGTGCGAAGAAACCCGGAGAGCTGACGACTGGTGTTTGGCACTCGTGACTCAGTGACATTCGGCTTCGGTCATGGGGAAGAATGTGACATAGTTTACTCGTTTCGTACTTGTTGCCACGTGTATGGCCTTATGGCGTGAAGGACGCAAGCATGGGAGAATGGCAAGCTTCAGCCTTGTTGTGGTTGGAACCGTACCTGCAAAGGAGACTGCGGCAACATGGACTCGTCATGGATTTGTTGGACTACTTTGTATCGCACCAGGTCCTGGACCTTCATGGCATCGATTACCAAACATTAGCCGATAAGCAGCTGAGCAATCCGGACAGAGTGAAGAAGATGGTAGGAGTGTTAGCTGCGTTGTGCCGCGACTCCGGCCGGCTGCTGCCACCGCGGCCACGGAGTTCTGAAGTGGACGTGTTCGACAAGTTTTGCAGTGCAATGCGGCATGTCGGACACAAAGATCTTGTCGACCTGCTGCAAGCCAAAGCCGCCGTGGACAAAGAGAGTGGTGGCTATGACTTTGGGCGTGCGCGGCAGCCTGCAGTGTCGCCGCCCCTGCCCCCGGAGGAGGCTCCCTCCCATGCAGTGACCTGGTCATATCCAGGCTACAGTGTGCTACGAGTGCCGGTGGATGAGACAACTACTTGCCGCTCCGTGCATCCCGGCGGTGTCTCTGCTACTCTGCTGCCTGTGGAGGAGACTCCGGTGCTAGCACACTCTGGACGTGGTTGCATCACAGCCGTGCCTTCCAGTGACCAGGCGATACCAGTACCAACACCTGTCTATGCGAGGATGTGCAATCATGCTGTCACAGCAATTGCCAGTCCAGAGTCACCACTGTGCGGAGAGTACATTTACAGTCCTCAGAGTCCAGGAACAGCAGTACCTGTGGAGGAGACAATGGAGCAGGGAATTACCACTGAGTCCCATGGGAATACGCATGCCATCCCACCGAGCCAGCTGCTGTCGCCGGAACGTGCGGTGCAGCATTCCCGACCGGCGACTTGTGTTGAGAGGTATCACACGCTGCTGCTTAGCCTGTGCCATGCCGAATGTGAAAGAACAGACGCTCTGCACACGCTGGGTGGATGCACATTCGAATATGTGTGTATGCAGGCTGTACGGCCAAGGGACACTGACTGTCAGCGCGCACAACACCGTGGGTACTTGCAATCCTTAGCTTTAGCCAGAGCTCACCAAGCACAGCAACAGAAACAGGAGCACGAGAGTGACATTCTATTTTCACTTGATGACCCGTCTGTGTTGCTCACAGGGTCGGTTGAGCAGCAGCAGCAGCAGCCAGTGAGCGGACAAGCTGCGATATCTTCAGCGACGACAACAGCTGCACGGGATCTGCCTGCTGGAGTACCTTGTAAGACGATTGTTGTAGGTGAATCCGGCAAGGGCAAAACCATGCTCTGTCAGCGTGTACTCTTTGACTTTCTCCATGGGGCACGTACACGTCTCCGCGATCGGTTTGATTACATCATTCCTATTAGCATCCGAGAGAGCAACAGCCTGTCAACCAGTGACCCTGATGCCTTCCTGGGTCTAAACCACCCTGCACTTGCCTTTAATGAGCAGGAGCGGCAAGCTGTTAAGCAGCACTTGGCGGAGAACTCTTCCCGGATTCTTCTGATTTTCGACGGTATTGATGAGAGCAAGTCGAGCGCTTTCAGCCCTGACTCCGCAGCACATGCATTCTTGCAACGTCGGCAGAGTGTCCTGATGGATGCGTCCGCGCTCATAACAAGCAGGCCTGGCCAGCAGGCATGCCGCATTTCAAAGTCCTGCAACCGGCACTATCGACTTGCTGGCTTCACTGACGCGCAGCTGACCAGGTTTGTTGACAGGCATCTTGGTGCGGAGGCTGGCAAGGTGTGCATATCAAGCCTGGACCTGGCATCACGCCAGCACTTGAAGCAGGCTGTGCAGAGTACTCCGCTACTCGCTGCTATTCTGTGTCAGCAGTTCAGCCTGTCTCAGTCTGTGCCATCAACAACAACTCTCTTTTTCGTGCACTACCTTTGCTCGGCTATTGCACGCCTTGAGCAGCGGCGTCCAGAGGAGTTTGGCACTGTTACTCTATCATGCACTGCCGCAAGCCAGTTCAATGGAGGCCAAGTATTCCAGTGCGGAGAAGAGGTCGGCCTCTACACGGTTGTCGAGCATCATCTGGAGCAGTTCGTCATGACCGACACCAGTAGCCGTTCAGATGCGGTTCATGTTGTCAGTGCATTGCAAGAACTGTACCGCGTGAGCCTTGACGGTTTGCTCTTGGGCCAGCACTCGTTTGATTGCTCCAAGTTCACACGGACGTCAGCGTGGTGGTGCTTGGAACTCGGTGTTCTGGTGTCGGAGAGAGACCATCATCGCTCTCTCTATGGCTATGAAAAGCGCGTTGCCCTGCCGCACCCGACAATACAGGAGTGGTGTGCTTCACGTGCATGCACGTCTGCAGCGGATCTGTCGTCCAGCACGGCGCACTGCTTGATTAGCTTTGGCGTTGCTGAAGAGCGCTGGGGCTTCTGGAAGTTTGTGTTTGGTTCGGCACGCACTGATGACCTGCACGCACTGCTGGCCGGAATGAAGACACAGGGCAGTGAACACTTTGGTGGCCTAATGGTGAAGAAGTTCCGTCTATTTCTAATGGGCTGCCTGCTGGAACATTGTCTGTGCAGCCACGGTGAGATTCCGCACGGTGAGCGGACCTATTCCTCCGCAGCATCTCTCATTGGTGCAGAAGCCATCAATTTCTCCGGTACGGTGCTCGACGATGGTGACATCATGGCCGTCAGCAACATACTGCAGCTACTGCCAGCTGGATGTGCGTGCAGCCTTGATCTGAGCAACTGCATGCTTTCAGCACAGCAGCTCGTGTCTGTCGCGCCGTGGCTGCACAAAGCCAGCAGTGTACAGCTCTCCGGTAACGATCTCAGTGGACCACCTCTGCGCGCCATCGGACACTGCTTGAAGCAGTCATCTGGCGGCCTCCAGTCACTGTGCTTGACATGCACCAGTTTGGTTAGGCCTGGAGAGGACGGAATGGCCCTCGCTGATTGCTTATCACACTCAACACTGACGTTTCTCTCCTTGAAGTCCAGTCAGCTTGGCAATGTCGGTTTGGCAAGGCTTGCTGAATGCATGCCAGATTGCCCAAACCTTGAGCTCCTTTCCTTCGGAGATTGCTCGCTGAGTGAGGGCTGTGGATCCAGTCTGGCTCATATTGTGCGCCGAGTGTCTGGACTCCAGCAGCTGTTTCTGTATCGCAACCGCCTTAGGAACAACGATGCCAGCCTCGTGCTGACGGCACTTTGTTCATCACACTCGCTCATCAAGTGCAACATCGATGACAATCTGCTTGATAATGATATTCTTGGCAGTATGCGTGACTTCTTGCGTGCACGTCATGAGTTGTCACCATTGCTCCTCTCGGCCGCACGCATTGCTAAGTCTGCTGGTGGCCGCAGGCCTCTGTCCCATTGTATCATCAGTATCAGTGGAAACCGAGCCGATCGCCATCTGCTGGATCAGCTTGCGGCTTCTGGGGTTGCCCGCAGTGGTGATGAGGTGTATCTTGGTGGCCTATCCCTGGCAGCAGACTCCGTGCAGCCAAAGAGCATGAAAGCCCTCCTGTCCGAGCACGGTGGAAGCCTGGAAGGCTTTGTGTCAGATGAGTTGGTCGCTGATCTCGGCAACTGTCTAGCTGCAGATGCAACCCTGCGGGAGATCTTCCTCCGGCACAGTCAGCTCAACGACATTGGCATACAAGCTTGGGCAATGTGTGGCCCTAGCTGCTACCAGAACGTGCAGGTTGTCGACGTCGGCTCCAACAACATTGGGCTGAGCGGCGCAGCCGTGCTTGTGGATGCGTTTCGCAACTCTCCAGCACTGCGTTGCCTGCGACTAGACGGCAACCCCATCTTTGCCGGCGGTACAACCACGGTCCAAGGGGAACCCAGTGCAGAGTATGAGCTGCTGTTTGCCGCCTTGTCGGAGCTGAATAACCTCAGATGCCTGACACTGGACAAGACGGATATGCAGGTGTCCGTAGCGGAAAGGCTCATGCTGACGGTGAAGCAGATGTCACCGCTTGTCTTCCTCGGTGTATCGTGTAACGACTTGGGAGACCGCATTGCCGAGCTACTGGTGGAGCACCTGGAATGCGGAGGTTCGCTGGCGATAGTGGACCTGCAGAACAATGGCATCACTGCCACTGGTGTACAGCTGCTAGCGAGTTGCACTGCCATCACTGAGAACATGGAGCATGTCTGGCTGTGCGGGAACAGCCTCTCCGGCCAACGGCTTTGCCGTCCATTGTCCACCACCGACCACGTGTATGACTTTGACTTCCTAACCCACATGGTGGATGAGTGCAGCCAGTGAAGTAAGTACTGAACATGTGCGCTCTATCACCGCTAGGCCCATAGTCTCTATCACCGCTAGGCCCATAGTCTCTATCACCGCTAGGCCCATAGTCTCTATCACCGCTAGGCCCGTAGTCTCTATCACCGCTAGGCTCATAGTCTTGTACAGCTTGGCGCCATGACCTGCGAGTAGCTAGAATGTTGATAACAAATTCAACTTGACCTGAACTCTATCTCAAATAATTCCTTGAGCCACTTAAAGTCATTTCCGACTAGTCTATCATTCTGAAATGCTTCGCTTTGGCACACGCTGTTCCGTTGAGAATGACCACCGTTGTGTTTCCCAGCATGGGACTGTTTTTGAGTGTTCCATATTTCCATGCTCGCAATCCTGCACGAGAAGTTATTGCTGTGTTTGTGTGTGTGTGAGTGTGTATATGTGTGTACACGAATGTGCAAGGCTCCAGAGGCACATATGCCAGGCATACCAGTTCTATCCCATTTCCTAGTTGTTCCAGCCTAGATAAGCAAGTCAAAGTATTTTTTCCTTGCGATTCTTTCAAATTCGATCATGCTCATTGGGGTTTCTTTCTGCTGATTTGTTATACTTCAAGTGCCACTTTTTTTTCATTTCAATATGAAGTCCTGATTCTTTGTCTAGACTCTGCGAGATCCTTTTCCAGAGTGATTCAAAGGCCCCGATATTTTTCTTGTTGAAATAACTGAGTTACGTTTGAATGACAAATCATACTACTAACTTCCCAATTCTTCCATTTTCGCCTTCTTGGCTTCCTCTCTTGGATATTGACACCGGCGGCGCGGTACAGGTAGAATGATAGGAAACATCTTCTAAAAAAAGGGCCCTATATCTACGAACTGCACACCAGAGGAAACTTGTCTTTCCTTGCCTACCCTGCCCTGCCTGAGGCTGGCTTGATTCTGTTGGTTGTTCAAACTATGCGCCTTCGGCATCTTTTCATCATTATTTTGACTATTCGTTCACTGACGAAAGTACATGCACATGTACATGTATCACGAAAACCATGTACCATGTACCATGTACCATGTACCATGTACTATGTACTATGTACTATGTACCATGTACCATGTACTATGTACTATGTACCATGTACTATGTACCATGTACCATGTACCATGTACCATGTACCATGTACCATGTACCATGTACTATGTACCATGTATACGCCCGTCGCAAGAGAAGCACGCAAATCCGCAAATGCACTGGATGTGCACCCACGAAAACCAGTCATCATAGAGTGAACATTGTTCGCACTTGGCCATGGTTATTCCTAACTGGCTACCTCATCGGCATTCCCTTTTCTCTACTTCATTTTCACATACAATGGACATGTACATGTGCATGGCATGATTGGGTCCTATAATTTTTGTTTGTTTGTTTTGATCCCACCTTCCAACCCAGCAAATATTTAGATTTTGATAAAAACGATTCAAAGCCTCTCAATTATTTTGTAATACTTCTAAATATAAGAATAAGAATAATATAATACAGTCAATTTGAAACTCGGATGTTGAGCCATAAATAAATGTAGAAGAGAAAAGGACATATGGATACGCGTTAAGAGTAACTCTCCATCACTGTGACATGATACTATATACAGTCAGAAAGTGCAATAACGGAGATGTGTTGAAGCTAGGTGTCAGGACGTCGAATGTCTCAGTACTCTCTCAGTTTTGTGCCTAGTTATTGCACTTTCTGACTGTATATAGTATCATGTAACATATTGTTACAGTGATGGAGAGTTACTCTTAACTCGTATCCATATGTCCTTTTCTCTTCTACATAATACAGTCAACTTTGCGTATAACGACACTCGGCGGGGCATCAGAAAAGTGTCCTTATTCGCGAAGTCCCATTATGGGTTACAGTTAGATGGGACTTCTGGGGGGGGGGGGGGGAATTCTGTCGTTATTCGCGAATTGTTGTTATATCCGCAGTCGTTATTAGCGAAGTTGACTGTAATTATTCTTTCACACAAAACAAGCTCGGTGCATTGGGTCCTATAATCGTATTGATCATTTTGATCGGTCTGACACCGTGAGTGGGAAATAAAAAAACAGGCACAATTACAACAATGGATCGGGCGACTTTCCCTTTTACTTGGTGGTGTAGCCCGGGTTTGTTTTCTTTTGTTTTTTTTGTAGCCCGGTTCAAACTCCCCGCCCGAGCGTGCTCCGACACGCTCCGCGTATCCGGGCAGTGTGGAAAGCAACGGTGTGGGGCCTGGCTAGCGCGTTTGACAGATTTCGATTTCCATTCCTCAGGAAATTATTGGAGGAATGGAAATAGAAATCTGTCACTGCGGCATAAGACGTACAAAAGCATCACGACGGGGAAGGATCCTGGGGAAGTCCCATTGTAAGAATACAATGACATACATGTGCATCTTGTTGACTACACAATACAGCTACATTGTAGCTAGCTGTTGAGAGCAGCAAGCGTTCCTGACTTCAACAAGAGGTCTCGACTCAAGACCTGCGGTACCGGTAGTAGGCGGGACTACTCTACCAACCGGTTAATTATGGTTGTACTAGTACTTGACAGTTGTACTACTTGTAGCCAGGAACTCTGTTCTCATCTCAACACAGACAGTGTCCTCCGCCTTGTAATGTTACCCCTGCTATCCTCGCCATGTTATCCCCTCCTCTACTGTACCGCTCTTCTGGAGTGGCACTACAGACTTTGTCTACAGTCTGTAGTACTAGTACTACTAGTACTAAAAGTAGGTAGATCCACACCAGCTACTCCATAATCGGAAGGCTTACTCGTAGATCTATGAAGCTGGCATTACTGATTACTGACAATACTGTCAATAGTAAGTTTTTGTTACAGCTGAGTCACCTACAGCAGGCTACACTACTACACTACAGTACATGTACGTGGACACGTGACCCGTGAGTCGTGACCTGCGCCTGCGGGCACCGATCCTGCGTTGCACCTGAGTTCTGGTCTATCTGGATGCATGATCCAGCTGATCTGCTGAGCAGCTTTCCAACTAACTTAGTATTTAGTAAAGTTTAGGCCCAAAAAATTAGTTTCCATCAAGAGAATACAAGTGTTTCGACAATAAATGAGCGTCGGTAGATCTACCGTGCGGCCAGGTGCAGCTAGAGCGAGCGTGCCAGGTGCAGCTAGAGCGAGCGTGCCAGGTGCAGCTAGAGCGAGCGTGCCAGGTGCAGCTAGAGCGAGCGTGCCAGGTGCAGCTAGAGCGAGCGTGCCAGGTACTACATGTAGGTGCTGCATTCTGTTTGTAGAGGATTACATCATGTAGATCTACACGGATCGAAATCAGTTCCGTCCCTTCGCCTTCGGCCAGTAGATCTACTCCATCACTCATCAGTGACTATTAAACTAGTTACAACGTCAAGTAAGTTGGTTTGTACATCGTAATACCGTTACTTACAACATCGCGATACCGGTAATTGCAATGATTATGTTATGAGCGCAAGTCCAGCTAGCTACTGCAGAATAACCACATGAACGTGTGCAGTATATCTACACTGTACTCAGTTGGTGTGTAGCTGCGCGTGTGTGTCGCTTTCCGCCGTTCCGGACACTCACTAGCGTGGTGTAGTGACTATCAGCTGGATTCAACTAACGTTTGGGGTGCGTGACACTGAAGGCCACGGAAGGCTTCCGAAGTGAATGCACAGGACGGCTAAAGGTGAGCAGCAGCTCGATTGGGCGATAACCGAAGGGTGACTCGCAGCCCACCCAGCTAGCAAACGTGAACAAAATACTTGCTCTGAGATCTACAGCGACCTTGAAACATGCAAGAATAAGCGTTTAACTAGCATACGGAGCGATGGCCGCCGAGACAGCGGCTGTGGGACAAGGCTGCAGCTCAGGTCGGGTGTTCCTCAGCTGCAGGGATTGTATGCCACAATATGCTGTGCACTCAAGATGGTTGAGATCACGATCGGATGACAACGGCAAAGAGATGTACTTCATGGACATGCAGAAGGTTCTATCAAGTCCGGACAGCTACGAGCAGTTTGTTGAGGACGCTCGCGATAGCGCGAGCATGCGTCGAGATGCTGACGAGGCGAAAAAGAAGTGCTCTTCACCAGTGGTGATCCCAGAGCAGAGTCATGGTGACACACCACCACCGGAGGAACTGACCATCGATGAACAGTATTATCGCTTCAGTGGGCGCAAGGACATCTTGGATGAGACCAGCGGCACTCTGGCCCCGGACTTCCGTGCCAATCGAAGGATCATATTCACGCCATCGCGTCGGCGGCCAGAGCACGTGTTGGCCTGGCCTGAGATGACAAGAACACGGACTTTTGGAGTGCTCTTTGTACCCGACGCGCAGCATGAAGATTACACCGTCCAGTGTGGCAAGAACTTTCTCATTCTGTCCAAGATGGGCGATCTGGAACAAACTGTGGGCCGTGCTAGATATCACATCATGAACATTGCTCGTTTCTGGCAGCTGGAAGACATGTGGATGATCGACGATAGTGTGCCTATTCATGACCTGAAAGCGACCACTTTTTGTCCATCAACTGGTGTGAGAACAGAGGAGAATGACACAGTGCTGGACTTTGAGGAAGTTCTAAGTCACGTCGAGTTTAAGTGCAAGAATTTCAACCCGAACGGTGCCTTGGTTGGCCTTCCATCAACGGTTTCTGTATCAAAGTTGCAACGGAGGACACCGCATGAGTCCAAGGTCCAGAAAAACCAACGTGCTGCAACGTCGTGCGTCTTCCTTCGTTTGAACTTGATCAGCCCGGATCTGAACTATGATCCACGCCTGCCGTTCAAGGAGGACATTCTATTCGCCCAACACCTGTTAGACAGCGGTCTGGATGTCCTGATTTACCGAGATTTCAACTTCAAGGATAAGCGTCTGGCTAAAGGTGGGTGCGGCGAAGCACCATACCTACTGGACCATGCCAGACGGGTGGAGAGGTGCAAGGCTCAAAACCTGACAACACCACTGCAGCAACAGCAACAACGACAACAAAAACATCAGCAACAGCCCCCTGCGTGGAATACCATATCCTCTCAACTTCCATTCCCGGCGCCATGGCATGCACATGTACCTATCCGCGGTCACCCATCTGTCCTCGGCCCGTCACCAGGTGGTCAAGCCCGGGCTATGCCTCTAATGCCAGTGCATCATCGACTACCCACACCTCTTCCACCACTCATACGTCCCGTGTCCATGGGTCCTCCTCCTCCTCCACCATTCATTCTTCCTCCTATTCAAGGTCATTCTCGGCACCAGCTCCATTCTCCCGCAATGCCAGGCTTTCAACCTGGAAGTACTGGAAAGCCATGTGTAGCAAATGCTCTTGCACAACGGCCACCACCTACTGGTATGCAGAACATAGCACTGGATCATAGAAGTCCAAATATTGCGCCACGATTCCCGGCTGGGCCTGTTTTGAACACAGCCGATGGTCGTGGCCTACTGCCAACGCCTAACGTTAGGCCACCAGCACCGTTCAATCCAGCACCGCAGCATTATCCCACACCGTGGAATTCGACACTGTTCAATCCGGCACTGCATCACTATGATTCGTATCCGGCACCGCAAAGTCCAGCACGACCCATTCCAGCAGTGCGCCCCACCACTGGCAAGATAGTGCGGGCAGTACAGACTATTCAACAGCCACGTCTCCAAGCACAATCTCACAGCACTTCTGTTCCAGGACGGCAGGAAGCAGACCGCAAACAGCTCCATGCCATGATTGCGCCAGAAGATGAGAATGGCATGAACCGTGACGTTGAGTGGACGGCTGATCCAGATGATCTGAAGCACACCTGGCAACACAATACACGCACAACTGACAACGCTGGACTTGCTACAACTACTAGCAATGACCGTGCCACCGGAAATGATGAGCAGTTCATGACATCATCATCTAGCATTATGACATCATCACCCAGCACTGTGACATCATCATCCTGCAATATGACATCATCATCCAGCACCGTGACATCATCATCCTGCACTGTGACGTCATCATCCAGCACTTTGGCGAATGTAATGCATGAGAGACAGCAAAGTCAGCAAACTACTTGGCATGAAGGCAGCACCCTTGCCTCGCCAAGAGAAACCACGCTGCACTCGGGTTCACCCAGCCCAACCGGCAACACGGCTCCAGTTCGCGCACCTGTGAATATTGATATGCAGGCTACAGGCTGTGAACCAGTAGCGGGTCGACCTCTAGTCTCTCGCCAACATACGTCGCCAAGCCGCAACGATTCCAGTAAGAGCAACCAGAGATTTGATGATGGACCTGGCAGTAAGAAGATAGAGACTACACATCATCAGAGCTACCAACACGAGCATTCAGTTGATATTCTGGTACAAGCCACTGACAGCGACATGGGCACAACACAAGGACAGGGTCACGGAACCGACGGGATAATTGATGCGAGTCAGATCATTAGACATGGGCAGCTCAGATATGGCTTTTCTACTGGAGATCAAGGGGAGTCGGCAGCTGAGAAAGACAATCAATTGGGCATGACTAATCAGATATGCAGTCTATCAAACACCATCACCGCTGAAGTAAGTGTACCTGTACATATTGGCCAAGACAGGGAAGAGCCTGGCCGGTCAGTACCGTCATCCAATCCAGTACACGTCGATGTAGATGTAAGCCGTGGTGATGTGCAGAATGACCATTCCAGCAATGGCCACATCCATGTCAGTGCTTCACAGGGTGACGGCAAACATCACCATACAACTGCATCTACAACCTGTTGCAGTCCGCACAGGAAGGACAATGCAGCAGCGAGCTTTAAGAGCATAGAGATCGACACTCAGGGAATCCCAGTTAGCCCAGCTCCAAGCATTAGTGAGGCAGCTCACGGCACGACAGCTTCCTCAACAGCCCAGCCAGGACAGGCAATGCAAACCAAGGCTTTCCAGCCCAGCGCTCTGAGTTCTTACATGGAAAGTTTGAGCTGTGACGTCAGCACAAGACAAAAACGTGCGAAAAGGCGGGGTAGGAAGCAGCGAGATCAACTGGCGGCTCTGTCAGATTCCGTCCAGCCGACTTTACCAACCTCTCCTCCTAGCATGTCAGCTCAGCATCCGGACATAGGAAGCAAATCCGGGGACAACATGCCACACAACACGCATCGAAAAGAAGAATTACCGGTATTGGAGGTATTTGGCGAAGCTGAACAACTGCTAATGCAAAATCCAGTATCCTCATCACATCTCCACCAAGCCAAAGAGCTGAAACAAGTAGCTGGCAAGAATGGCAAAGACAAGAGTGAGAATAATCCATCTGCAGAGAGTCAAATGATTTGCAGTCCCATGGATCACAAGCCGAGTATCGATCACAAGCCGAGTATCGATCAAACAAACATTAGCAATGAGCCGGCACTGGCAGCAGTGAGGAGTCCCGATAGAAGGCAAGCATCTGGAGGTCAGCAGAAAAGGGAGCGAGGAGACCGTCCCTCACATGATGACCGTCCCTCACACGATGGCGTGAGTCGACGATCAACGGTGACCGACGAAGGAGCTCACCATCGCGAACTAGCAGTGTGCACGCATATCACCGAAGAGTTGCATGTAGAAGAGGATGATGGTAGTGAGGAGCAAGCGCTGACTCAAGCACAGCAAGTACTGCAGAACGACATGAGCATATCCTCATCCTGTGCCAGAGCTGAGCTTGAACAACATGCTTACACTAGAACATACTCGCCTACTGAACAGACCTTGAAAATACAATACAACGTCAACACGAGCAGCACAGAATCTCGACTGCCAAGTTCCAGCAACAGTGAAATGAATTCCAGTCTAAACTTGACGGAATGTCACATTTCACTTCGTCCAGAAAGGGGTGGTCCTGGGCAGATGAGTGACGCTTCGCCACATTGTGCACGTATGCCTGGCAGTGTGGTCTTGTGCTTGATACCGGAGCATCGGAAAAGTGCCGCGCATGATC